CGAACACTCGTGTTGGTTCTTTTCTGTACTTCTTTGTGGCGTGCGCGAAGGACACCGATGAAATCTGTCTGATCTCTTTCGCAAACTTCCGGAGTTCAGGAGTGTCTAACTGCTTAACGGAGACGCCAGTTCTTTCGATGTGCAAAGTCCCCGTCTATACGTTCGTGTAGGCTCGTTCGTTCTCTAGCCAAGGAGTACCTAGGATCATCTAGTACTCTCCTGCTATCTTGGGGACAATATAAAGGAAAATCTTCCCCGATGGTGTTCGTGCTAATTGAGACCCTCCAATATCTAATGAGTCCAGTATTGCACACTCTGTGATCTTGTTCTTTGATAACTCTTCGAATCCTAATACCCCGATAGGTTCAGGGAGGGTAAACCTGTCAAGCTTCAATCGCCTTGCAACTCTTTCTTCGATCAGCCCATAAGATTGCGACCCATTATCGATCAGGGTAAGGACGTTATATTGCTTGTTCACGTATACGGGGATAGTAAAAAGTGTTCCTTCCATGTTAAATGAATTCCATTCATTTATCAACTTATTGTAGACTTTTCCATCCTTAGGCCCTAGGCGCCGACTTTCGGCTAGGGCATCTCGTTTTCCGATTCCGTCTCTTCTGCTTGTCCTTGCTCATTGTTCTGGGAAGTCAACAACACTAGTTAGGGCTTTTCCGTAAGAATTCCATTCGTGAAAACTCCGCTCGTCTGGGTTCGTCGAGGGGGAGGTGCATAGTAGCATTGGAAGGAGCGATGCCCTGCGTTTCCACAGGTGAAACAGACTCCTGCGGCTTGTCGTGCTTGGAATTCTTTGGAATTGATTGGGCGCCCTTTCGGACGGTTGTCAGGATTCGGGTGTAAGGAGCGCGACGGTCGGTTCTGCGTCAAGGCCTAAGCAGCTTACGTTTAAGTGACACGCGTTGTCCAATCCATTGCGTCCGGATGAGCCGGGGATGGTGCGGGCGCTAAGACTTGGACTTGCGGTGGGGTCGGGACCGCAGGCGTTGGAGATGGTGGTCGGTATTGCGATCGTGACGTACCTCCGCGGTTTCCAGGAACCCATCGAGAGGTTGAAGCGTGAGCTGCTTCAGAGGCGTAGTGGGCCGTATAGAGCATATCGACGAACTTATCATAGTTACTGAAATCAAGACCCGCGATGGTTGCAGGGAGAATGAGTTATCGCATCTCACTGCTCAGCTTTTCTTAGAGAACGTTGATTTTAGTTCGAGCATCTTGGTAATCCATCTGAGCCTCGGTCTGGAGTCGTTGGTGCTCTTTCATAAACTCTGGAAACGGTTTATTAACTTGCTTTAGGCGAACGAATTAAGAGTAAGCACGTTCAGCCTCATGTTCGTCTCGATATCTCGAATCTAGGAAAGCCACAAATTTCTCCGTATCCTGGGAAGCCGTATTCCTGTCCCTCCATTGCGTAGCAAACAGCGCGGGTTCTCCATCGAGGAAGGCACAGATATAGGCAATTGCGGTTACGTGATCATGAGCGACAAGATGTCCATCTACTTGAATCTTGTTTTGCATCTTTGCTCTCCAAACTTTGTACTTCTTCTTGTCTCCTTCGAATCTCGTTGGTTTCGGGAGTTTCTGATTCCTGTCCCTAGCTAGGGTCTTAGTAGGGGTTTCCGGCTTAGCGGCTTCCTTAGGAGCTGTAGCTTCGCTTTGGACTTTTTTTGTTTGCGGTGTCTCGGCCTCTGTAGCCTTTCCTAGAGCTAACTCTAGCTGTTGTATCTTTTCTGCCATGGTGGCCATCATGGCTGCCATTTCCGTTTTCTCTTTATTCGTGAACGTATTCGTATTCCCTGTCGGTGGACCCGGTGGACCCT